GTTAACTCTTAACAGTTTCCAGTCTTCTCACTTGAGAAATGAACAGCAACAGAGCAGCATTTTACTGTACATATAAAAAAGTGCACACTGAAAACACTTTACGAAATTCAAATTCAAAATCTCGCTGTCATTTGTTAGTCTAAAAATTGTTGGCCAAGAACAGTAGCTTGACACCAGCTGCAAAGTTTCCACTCATCCGAAATAAAGTGGACTGTCAGGCTTATATAGGGCTCCATGGTGCGACTCGACCACCAGTCCGTTGTTGCAAAGTGTTTCACGTCATGAAGCTCGTTTCCAATCTTCTCACGGAGCTTGGTATACATTTTTGGCATTTCTGTTAAGTATTTGCAGCTTGACACGATGTATCACACACTTTGCAGATTACATTTGGTCTTACTGTTTAAACCCAAACCAGGTCCAGATAATAGACATTATTTTTGCTCCTGTCTTTTTAACGAGTTCCTCCCCTGCTCTCTCAGCCATGCTGCTCTCCGCTTGCTCTATGCTTTGACGCCAGCCGATTACGTCAACAGCAAGCATTACTGCGGTTAGGTGGTAGAATACAGATCTCTATCATAGGCTAAATGTCTATAGTTTCTACCGTGTACCGTTTATATTGCGCATTCCTAGTTCAATCTGGCCAAAGATTCATGCAGCAAAACACAGAAGAGAACGAACTAAGAGCGAGTCAGAAAGCTGCTGTGATAAATGAAACTGATGAGTGTTTCTCAGCTGAAGCATAAAATTTAACAAAGTTACAGATAATTATTACTGGCCTGCATAATCAATCAATCGAGCTTTATTTTTATAGCACCTTCCATACAAGTCAAATACAATTCAAGGTGCTGTACAGCGTAGGAAAAAATAAATAAATAAAAATGAAGCTAAATGTTTGTCTCTGTTGCCAAGAATCTCGTGGTTATAGGAAGCATTTCACAGTCCTGACCTTTACAGATTCAGGACACAGAATCACACCCTGTTCTGTTTAATAATAAAACTGGTCTAAACAAAGCTTTAAACTGTAACACTTAACTTTTATCATAAAAATTAAACTTAGCAAGAAAAATTAAATATTTTAAAACTTATCGTTTAAAAAAAAAGACAAATAACTTCCAAGTAATTCCAGTTTACTGCGATATGGACAATATTTTCATTGTTTCTGTCAACACTATTTGTATTATTTTATGTTTTTATTCAATAGTTTGACAGTTAAGACCTTTGTTCATTCATTCTTTTTACCCACATTTCTGGATCATGGGGAGCTGGTGCCTATCTCCAGCCATCACTGTGGGAGAGGCAGGGGACACCCTGGACAAGTTGCAAGTCCATTACAGGGACACATAGAGACAAATGAGTCAGACAACCATTATAAATTAGGGACAATTTAGAGTCACCATTAACCTTACATGCATGTTTTTGTTCTGCGAGAGAAAATTGGAGCACCCGAGAAGACTAGAATTGCATTCGGGCCCAAAAAATCCAACCCAACATAGCCCCACCAGCCCGTAGCCATCATTTCCGAACCCCACCCGACCCGACGAATTAACAGTAATTACTGGGCCGAATATTTTTAATTAAGCTTTGACTACTTATATAGTTATTAACGGTCGGCGGACGTGCGCGGTTGTGTAAAAAGGGCAGAAGATCAGAGCTGAGGGGGTGTTTGTCCTTTCATGGCCGTCAAAGCGCATTAAAACCCTGTTTCTGCCTGTATTCAGCATTATTCAGACACGGACCCAGCTCTGACATGTCTGCTTTGGGATCTCGCCTGTTTGGGTAGTCAGCCGCACGCGTTCGCTAAGTGCAGTGACTGAACGTCCATTTGGGCAATGGATCGCTTCCTGGAAGTACCAGTAGTCCCATCTGAAGCTTAACTGAACTTTATTTTACCTGTTTCAAGACCGGTCAGCTCGTGGTCAAATGGCCATGTGAGGCTGGGGATAGTATGACAAGCCATGTTGCCATATAATTGGATCGCAGCTGATCCGCTGACGCGATCCAAAGCCTGACACCGACCCGGCCCATCCAGCACGTTATTATGGCCCGGCCCGAATTTGGGTTGGGCCAAGCTTCAGGCCCAGGTTAGAAATGACAGCTCTAGAGAAGACCCACGTATGTTTGAGGAGAGCACGCATGCTCTAACATTCTTGCTGTGAAACAAGAGCTCTGACCACTGCTATAGTGTGCAGCCCAGCTACGACCTGTGGTGTTCAATTCTGGTCCTCTGGAGTGACAATCCTGTATGTTTAAGATGTTTCCCTGCACTGAAACACCTGATTTAATGTTTGAATCACAGCTTTAGCATTTCCTTAAGCTCTGCAGCAGCCTGGTACTCATTCCAGTCAGGCATGGTGAAGCAGGGAAGAACCTGACATGAGCAGGATAGTGGTCATTGATGACCAGGATTGGGAACCATTAGGACTAAAAGAAAATAATAAAACCATAAGTGCTGGTAATGTAACTCTGGTAGTTTAATTTCACACTACCAGTACTGATCCCTGTTTATTTGTTTATTTCAGTGTCAGATCCCAGATCTCAGCATTAAAAATGGTAAGAGTTCAGTGTGAGGATGACCAGAACTTGACTTTTTAAGACCCGAGTGTCAAAAAATAAAATAAAAAATCAGCAGAGATATAGTTTTATATTTTTACATTTTATCTGGGTAAAACCTGATGGCTGAAGATGGTGTGAATAATTAACGAGAGACTGTGTGACACTTACACAGGTAGAAACTGAGCTGAGGATCCTCCAGGTGACTTCTCACAAAGTGTCTCACAGCATCAACTGGACAAAGGACACAGAGAAAATCAGCTGGAGTGTTAACAAACTACAACAAACCTCTGTTGCTCATTGTGTGGACTGCAAGTCATGTTTCAGAAGCAATTTCCCTCTAATTAGTCGTTCCGGGATTACAGACTGGTCTCATTCTTTCTGTCTCTGTTACTGCTGTGGCTACAGTCGTAAATGTGGTGAGGAAGCCACACGTGGATTTCACATTGCAGCCATACCTGTGGCAGGTGAAATGAACACTCTCCACCTTATGAAGCAACACAAACCTGTCTCAAGAGGCCTGAAGAAGCCTTGGAGAGCATATCTGTCTGGAAACTGGACCCTCAGGACCACCTGGAGATGCAGAAGTTATTTATAGTTAGTGTGTGTGATTTTTATTTTGTAAAGAAATGTATGAATTTGATAATTGGAACGTGGTTGGAACGCACTTTGGGATATTTCGTCATCTTCTCCTTCATCTGCGCTTCTTTCATAGATTTAGTCATGAGGGGAGCCTCTTCTAATAACTTCCTGAAGAATAAAACAACAACAGAAACAGACCAGATATGAAATAAAATACAGGCTGTTTGGTTGTTGATAAAAAAAGACGAGCAGGGTTAAATCTTCTGCCCTCGCTCGTGTGTGGCCGTGCATGCGTATTGTGCATGTCAGAGGCAGAGACAAATTGCTGCGGTCGGCTTAATTCCACCCTTGGTAATTGCAGTTATTGACATGGTAGCAGTGTCGCAATGAGGCAGCCGGCTAATGTTGACAGAGATTAAAGGTTGTGCGCGTCGAGGTCTCAACCTGATGGCGTTCGGTCTAAGACTGGAAGATCTACACAAAACAGACTCACTAATTGCTCCCAGTACGAGGCATTTGGAAGCCTTTGTAGTGTGTGTGTGGTATTTTTATGAAAGAGAACACGAACGTCGACACACACAATGTCTCCACAGCTGTGACCACGTCCAGAGAGTGCAGAGTAAACTTAGATGCATCTGTTTGAAGAAGCGCTCATAAATAAATAAAAACTTCAAACTCATAATAAATAGAAACAAAACATCCCTGCATCAGTGGCCTCTCATCACTGCTATGGTATTCAACAATTAAAGGTTATATATATTGACAAAACTCAGCAGGACCGCACACAGAACTGACTAATTATCGGTTTCAGCGTGTGCAGGACCACAGGTCAGATTCAGACGCGTTTCTGTAGCAACGAGACATTTCAACTAAATATTGAGTAAAAACTTTAGACCTCTTCCTATGACAAACCTCTCGCTTTTCAGCTGAGCGAAGCGCTTCCGCACATCGTCCACCGTCACTTCAAAGAACTCGTCGGGCAGGTCCTCGTTGTCCTCTGTGTGACGGGATGTCAAGTCCAGGTGATAGATCAGAGGCTCCCTGTTCACCGGCTGCAGAAAGGAAGACAATCGGTTATTGAACGAGTGTCCGCACTAACGTTCTCGTGTGCAACACCATGAGTAAAACAAGGACAAGTGAGAGAGGAGAGATTTTAAAAAGACATAGCACTTCTAGAAGGAATGTATATCGTCCGCCACCTTTCATGAAAGAGCTTTAAACTAATATCATCTGACGAACGATGCAGTTACTGTATAGCCATTTTGGTGAAACCTTAAAAACGACTTTACTCACAATCTCATGTGAGTGAATGTTGTTCAAAACTCTCAGCTACTGCTGCATGAAATTTTATCACAGTATCTGTTAAATTGAGTTACAGCCATTTTTGTGTTTACAAAGTTTAGTCGGCTGTGGCGGCCATCTTGAATGAGGCTGACTAGTTGAACATCCAAACAGACACAAACATAAACATTATCATCTGCCGTCAAGCTTCTGAATTAAACTCAATCATGGAGAAACCCACATCTAGAAAATCTGATAAACTGAATTAAAGAGGAGTGACTAGGCCTGTCACGATAACAAATTTTGCCGGGCGATTAATTGTCTCAGAAATTATTGAGATAAACGACAATATTGTTTGAAATTTGACAATAATTAGTAATTATTGTCAAATTTAAGAAGAAATGTTGATTTTATTTTGAGTGTAGTACCTTTTTTGACCACCGGATGACAGTATAAGACAGTTTGAACCGAAGGATGGATAGTGAGGGCACAAGCAGCGTGTCTCTGATCAAGAAAGCTCATCAGAGACTCTACTTCCTCAGACGGCTGAGGCGAGCTGGTCTGGGAAGCTCAGTCCTCACCTCCTTCTACAGGTGTGCAGTGGAGAGCATCCTGTGCTCGAGCATCAATGTGTGGCATGGAGGCTGCACAGCTGCAGAAAGAAAAGCTTTGCAGAGAGTGGTGAAGGCTGCACAGAAATCTGTTGGAATCAGCCTCCCCACCATCACAGACATCTACACCTCCAGATGCAGGAAGAGGGCCACCTGCATCATGAAAGACCCCACTCACCCAGCACACACACTTTTTGCCCCACTCCCCTCAGGAAGGAGGTTAAGGAGCATTAAGTGTAGAACCACTAGACTGAGGAACAGCTTCTACCCTGAGATTGTTAGACTCATGAATCTCTAACTAGAATAATCACTGTGAAAAACCATATGTTGCTGCTGATCTGTTTCATGTTGCTGCTGATCTGTTTCATGTTGCTGTTGATCTGTTTCAATGTTGATGCTGTTTCATGCGTGCACATCTGCTCACAGACTCATGTTCATGTTTGTGCTGATGTTCAATGTTTAATGTTATGAGTGCTTAGTGTATATTTAGTTGATGTTATTCTTAGTTCATATCTTAGATGTTATTACTGTTTTTCTTATACATTTTATTGTTGGATGTAACTGGGACCCTGTGTACATAATTTCGCTCCACCACATGTACTACATGAGGTGCGAATGACAATAAAGAAACTCTGACTCTGACTCTAAGAAAAATGGGAGGGAGGTCACTTGACGTGACATGGGCTGTCTCTCATTCCTTTTTTTTCCGGTTCTCAAAATGGCGGACGTTCTGTGTGGTTTGAGCTCTTTAGCATAGCATTTTTTTAATCAGGTCTCTCTTGTAAATGAGTCCTCGAGGCTCAATGGGATTTACCTGTATAAATAAAGGTTGATTGATTGATTTTCACACAAAGCTTTTAATAAAAATTAAAAAAAAATCAGTAAAAAAAAGTTATCTTCTTTTTGCAGAGAAAAACAACTTTTTAGATGAAGGCACAGGTTTCAACCGTGAATTTTGGAGCTTCGACAAGTCGGAGGTTTTTTCCCCGAGGTCGACCTGTTAGCTTAGCTCGTAGCTTAGCTTCTCAGCTTAGCTGCTTTTAACGATCCAAAAACGTGATTTTGGATGGTTAAAATGGATTTTAAAGATAAAAGAGAAAGGGATGGATCAGTGAAGAACACTGGAGTTGAGCCTTTTGTCATCCAGTGTCTTCAGTAGAAAGAGAGAGACACGAAGAAACAATAAACCCAGTAAACGAAAATGAGGTTGATAATTTGAATTTATCATGCATTTGATTTTTTGTTTATCGCGACAGGCCTAGGAGTGACTCCTGAAAGATGAAAACAGGTTTACCTCCCAAAACGCCTCATGATCCACTCCCTGGTCTTGCAAACTGGCAGTTGTTTTACACTGACAGAAAAAACAAACAAAAGCTTTAATTAATCGGCTCAAAAAGGAACTTTCAGTTTCAAGTAAAAAGGATTTCTTGCTGCTGATACAAATATTATTCCAGCACAGCACATTATCCTGAAGTAGCAAGTTAGCTTACACTGCTAAAAAATATATCAATAAATTCCCAAAAGTTATCTTTAAAAGAAAGACTGTGATTTCTGCAACAACAACAACAATTTGTTTGATTTAATCTGCTCAGTTTCTTTAGCTTTTCTGACCTTTGCAGTTTGGTGCAAACTTGGTCTTAATATCTACAGTATTAAAAAAAAAAAACTTAGCTTCATTAACTTTAACTTCATTAAATTTAAATAAATTTTAAATATTTTAATCAGAAAAATAAAAATGAAACGACATTCCGTAATAGCTTATAAAATCTGTTGTATGTAGTGCTCAGGTTGTAGAAGAGTTCTCAGATATAATTTCTGATTTTATTTGTACGTTCTGTGATGCTGGAGCTCACCTTGGTGTTCGAACTGTGGCTGGATTTGGGTTTTTTGGCTTTGGGTGATTCTACTGTTGTTGTAAGAGCAGACAGAGATGAAGATGATGATGAAGATAGTGGGAGCGCACTAGTTTCTCCTCCTGTGCCTCCGAGGCGCTGACCGCCTCCGGAAAAAGGAATGAAAGGTGTTGCAGGAGCAGAGGAGGAGGAAGTGGATGAACGGGAGTCCAGTCCTGATGGCTCCGCTTCTTCTGCATCCTCAGTTAGTATTTCACTTCCTGCGGGGGGAACTTTGGGCCGAACCACCTCCTGAAGGTTTGGAACGTCTTCTTGTTGGATAGGAATGGAGCCTGCGGATGTGGCAGGAGTTGGCACTGGTGGCGTTTCTAGTGGCTCAGCGGGAAGCGAGTCTTGAGTTTGCACAGGTTTTGGTGCTGTCCCAGAAAACGACAGAACAGGACTGGGAGCAGGATCAGGCTGAGGTGATGGGCTGGGAGTGGTTTCCTTGGCAACAGGCGGGATTGGCATAGCAGCAGTATCCTCCTCCTCTCCTGGCGTTTTGTCTTTTTTAAGAAGAAACCTGAAAGAAAAACACCAACATTAGAGGCTTACATGACTCCTAGCTCTGCAAAGTTTACATAACATTTATGAATAAACAGCATTGTCTCAGGAGTTTGTGTGGAAAAGGCTACAAAAATTCTTTTTTAATCGATTTATTTCAGCTGAAGGCATGATTTGTTTGTCCAGCACATTTTTAATGTGTTTTGTTAAGAAGCTGGAAATTTGGGGAAACATTTTTTCATGTAGTCAAATGAAAGAAACCTACTTTAAACAGAGGAGGTCTCAGATTTCAACTTTCAAAAACATACAATGCAGCTTTAGACCTGACTCCCATTCAGCTCCACTCCAATTCACTCTTTCATGCAGGTGATCAAAACACATCTCATGAGCACGGCAGACAAAGAGCATAACGGGCCTCCTTTGTGAGAGGCGAGAAGTTCCTGTCCAATCTGCAGGTGAATCTAAGTCCACAACCAGGCCTCTGATTCGGTTTGATTAAGCTTGGGACTCCACACACTCCAGATACTTTTTAATTGATAAATCCTCCAGGATGGGAAGCCAAACATCTTCAGCTTCAGAATAGAAGTCCAGTTGTTTGTTTTTTAACCTTTTTTTTTTTTTATTAATTTCTGCAAGTTTCGTTAACATTTTAATCAAAAACATTATTGCTGTCTGTCTTTAAGTGACATTGGAACATAAATCAGTAAATTCAGTCTCTGTGCTGGTAAACAGTTTTATAACACAATAATTAATGAACAATTGAAATACATCACACAGCAGCAGCAAGAAACTGAACTCACGCAGCCTACCTGAGAATGGCACTTCCTCCCGTAAGACCAAGAGATTTCAGAGTGGCCTTCTTCAGCGCTTCCTCCCCACTCACCTACATACACACACACACACACACACACACACACACACACACACACACACACACACACACACACACACACACACACACACACAGATGTATGGACAAACAGCTGTGCTGTCGTAAAACTAATTCACTTTCATCTTTTAGAAAGGGAGAGTAAAAGCAACGCTGCATACCTCGTCTCTCATGTAAACACACACAGGAGTGGCTCCTGATCCGAGTAGCTCAGACACGCTGGAGAGAGGCAGAAACGTTAGGGAGGATGAGAAACAGATAAAATTATGAGTAAATTATTTTACTTTGATTCAAATTAAAACCCAGAGGTAACACTCCTTTTTAGAGCATTCTGCAGTAAAAGCTCCTGCTATGCAGTGGCACACTGACTGCATGTGTGAAACCATGTGGGAATGATGTTGTGCAGAAACTAATTGAACCATAAATATTTTACTATTGTTCCTTTCTATTCTAAAAAAAAAAAAAGAAAGCTTTCCCATCTGCTTCCCAACATGCACAAAGCTGTTTTTATGTTGGTGTGGAGCTGATGCACATTTCATGGAAGTAAAAAAAGATCAGGACATGCAGTGATGTAATTTAATGGAGATGAGATGAAGGCTAGTGAGCTGCAGGAGCACCTGGAGTTGCACAGCTGGAACTACTGAGCAACAGCTGTGCGCGGGTGTGTATATGTGTATGTGTGTGTTTGAGAACCGAAGCGCCTATGCTGGGATGAACAGCACTGCTTGAAACTGTTTTAGTTTTACCTAAATAGAAAAACAAATATTTTTATGTGCACTTGCTCCCTGTATGAACATCTGGGCTCCCATAACAGTTCTTCTTTAACTTTTTTTTATTGAAAGTTCTTCTTTAGTTGTAGCGTTGTTTCATATCAAAGACTGAATTTGTTGTTGCTGATCTGTTGTTACAGCACACTTGATGCAACTTATATGTTTTAGTGTAGATAATTACCACACATTAAACGATGCGATGTGTAGTTCCAGGTGTGTTTTCATCTTAAGACAGTATGAAAGTGTGTTTGTTTTTAAGCAATTTTAAATTTCAGCATGAGGAAAAACTTTTATTTGTCTTTATGAATAATTTTAAGTAAATAACATGATCGGCACAATGTTGAAAAATGTCTTGTTCATTGAAGAGATCCCAAAGCTTTTAAATTTCTGCTGCTGTTTTTGAACCCGACATCCCAAAGACAATATTTATGATTTGATATGATCAGCCTGTTGAACAGAAATACTTCCTGTGGATTAAAGGTCTGCCTTCAAATAAAAAAGCTGGATTCTAACAGTGAAAAGTTTTTTCCTGTGAACAAGTTTTCATCAAAATTGTAGAAAACAAAACCCGTTTTTTGCTGCAATAACCACCAAATTTGTGTTTTAGTGAACAAGAAAACAGGAATGCTTGACAAGTAAAAAAAAGCACATTACTCTAATTTATATTTCATTTATTTTTCTTTAATTTTGGTAATCAGCTATCCTTTAATAATCAAACCCTATTTTGACTTTTACTAAAAGACTTTTATTAAACAAAAGTTAGCTTTTTTAAAAATGTATTTAAAATGTATCAGTTTTACTTTAACGATCTGATCAATTTAATTTCCAAATTAAGTCATTTTAAAGCATTAAAAATAACATATTAATATTTGCTTGCACAATCCAAAGTTAGTCCTAAAACAATCCTTTGTTGAAGAGAAAGTTCTCGAACGAATGAAAGAATCCACACGAATAAATCAAAGGAAGAGCGAACGTGTTAGCACCTGATCTGGGGGAAATGTGTGATCAGCTCCCACAGACTCAGTCCAGAGGAGAAGGAGCCCTGGAGCCGAGAGCCGTCCTCCATCTGGAGCGCAACCCGCACCTGACGCAGAAGAAACCACAAAAACAACAAGTGGTGTTTAAAGCTACGGCAGAGACTGCCAACACTCTAATTAAACAAACAAACACGGCGAAGAAATAAATAACAGTCATAAACTACCAGCATCCGTTCATTAATAATAAACTTCAAAAGGTCAAAACTAATCATATAATGAAGAGCATTGCTCTGACACTAAAACAGACACTTTGAAGTATTCTGAACATCATTACCAGTTTTACTTCCTGAGCACTAAATCTAAAAATAACAATATTTATTTGTACACCTCAACCTGAAAGATTTCACTTTGATAAACTCTGGGGCAAAAATCTTCCTAATTGCTGAAAAAGGAAACTCGCTTGAGTGAAGTACCCTTTATCTCCCCAGGTGGCCTTTTAAACGTTCTTGGCTCTTGAGGAAATAAACTTTTTGATAATCAGACCTGATGAAGCCGCACATGTGGGCCTACATGAGTCTGAAAATGAGTAACACCAGGCAAACAGTTTGAGTCTGTTGTTCTTTCTCTCTGAGTCACACTACAAGTTGTTTATGTTTACTCAACAACAGCGTTGTCCAGAACAGAGAGCGCCCTGAAGTGTCGGCACACCAGGGGAGATGAAAAGAGAGCACTCTCGCACACAAGACTGCCAAAGGTGTGTGTGTGTATATATAAAACCTGTGAGGGATCAACAGTCAGCCATCCATCAAATGGACAGAACAGCAGATCAAACCCAACTGTGATTTAACTGCTTAGATTATGATGCTATGATGTCATAGGAAAATACAGCTTAACTACAACAAAGTCTTGGGTTTTGTTTGGGAGGGGAGGGTTGGATACAACTTAAGAGACTGAATACAAACTGAGAATGTATCCTCTTTCAGCACCGACAATATAAAAAAAAAAAAAATCGGATGGTCTAAATATAAAAATACTGAAAAATACATAACTTGAATTAGGGTTTAACATTCCTTGAAGGGATGCATGTTCCCCACAGTTTTTCACACTGGAGGTTAAGGATCATTTTATGGTGAGAAATGATGGCGTTAGGAACTTTTTGATCAAATCTTGAAAATGACGTTACGTGCAATCTCAAGCAATAATGCAAGATCCTGCGTGCTCAGAACATGTGCTGTACATGACTCTCAGCTACTACCCCACCAAGCTTTAGCTCAATATCTGAAAAGTTGACAGAGTTATAGCCTTCTTTGTGTTCGCTAAAGCTGATTAGCTGTGGTGGTCATCTTTAATCAGCTTGACTCCAAAAGTTAATCAGTTGTAAATGTTCATCCAGTGATTACAGTCTGACAGTTTCTTTAAAGCCCATTCAGTGATTTGATTTATGAAATATTTTGCTAACAGACAAAACAAACACGAGCATACAGAGACAAAAATCCGTACAGAACAATTCTCACAGTTTGAGCTCAACACATTTTAGCATCCTCTTTTTATGTTAGAGTTGTGTAATGAATGCTTTGGGTACTGAGGGTAGATTGTCCAGGAAAACAGGGTGTGGTGAAGAGATGAAGCAAATACTGAATCCAAAAATCTTCTTCTGTTGGGCAAAGAAATCCAGAATGGGTACAGACAGTGAAAGTTTGGACTCCAGACAATTCTACTTATACTGTAGGTTTCAAGTAAGATGTGCAATAAGCTTTAAAACTGAGATAACTGGTTTTTGGTGGCCAAATGTTCACAGTAATGCATCTTACTATTTCTTCAATTTCAACATTTCTCATCTCTGTGAAGTAGAACCCATCAGGTTCTGGACTGTTCACCCACTAACTAGTAATATGAACTGGGATTAAACCGCCAAGTGTCAAGTTACTTTCATCCCACAATTTATGTTCCTTTCCAATAATAATTATTTTAAACACAAACATAACACTTGCTCACTATTCCAGATAGGTATAAACTAGAATACAAAAAATGTATATTAGAAAATGTGCTAATCCAATGCCATAATCTCTTTCATGCTACTCTGATAGCTCAATTTGTTGGTGTTTTTATTTAATTTAACCAACAACCACTATTTAACCACTATTTAACACTTTTGTCCATTTTTGTCATAAATGCATTTAAATTTTTTACTAACCTGACTGTCAGCTCCACTTTGTTTCCTCGTACTTGTCACCATTTCCAGTTTAGCGTTGTTGGGAAGATTGGCAAACCTCCATGGCAGGGTCAGGTCAAGAACCGTCCTCTGAAATCTGTCGATAGTTGACAACAGATAAACAATACTTACAGTATAGCAATTACAAAAAGACAACTATTAAGTTTAACATTGAATTTACGTCACCTAAACAGTTAAGTTGTTAAATAGAGGAAAAATTTAATATAAATCATAAAGATAAATCACATGTACTAAAAATACACTTCAAGAAACAGTTCCTGTAATTTTACTATTCTGTTAAAGTGAAGCCAAGTTTATGAATTATTGATGACAAGCTGTGCTTTTTCTTGATCTTTAATTCATTTTTTATATACAAAATGAGGTGTTCTCACTAGAAGTCTGAATTAAAAATAGGCTAACACTTTTATAGTAACTTAGTTAACTAAAGACCGAAATGTCAAACTGCTCTGAAACAAAATATTTCAACAGTTGTTTACACTTTGTGTTGAGTTGACATGATCAGATTCTCATAATTTTAGCCATCTGGCAATTTCACTTAAACTTAGTACTTCAAGGAAGACCTGCTAAAGTTTTCTAAAACAATATTTTATTACGGGTATTGAGAGACAAATTGCAAACTTGTGTAAAATAACAAATTATAGACTCACATCTTCAGATATTGTACATGCAAAATAGCAAATTAGAGAGGAAGCTGTGTTCATTTTAGATTTCTAACAGTCACTGTCAACTGACAAGAACGACAATGACTGGATACAGTTAATGAAGACTTAAAACAAATTTCCAAAATGAAGCATTTGGTTCATGTGCCAGTGACAATTAAATAGACAATGAATTAGCAAAAACATTTTAAAACAACAACAAAATAACATTTTTTTTTTCTAAAAGTGAGTACATTCTGTTGGTGTGACATTTTTCATAACTTTAAAGACGAGTCTTAATATTCAGCGTCAGACTCATTGCCCAGTTTTGAACAATATAATGACAATTTAAATAAAAACAGTTGCACTTAGCCTGGCATTTATTCACCAGTAAACCATTAAATAGAGACAACAAATGGTATCAAGATACTCAAATTGTGATAACTGATATAAATCAGTTGGCCAATGAGCGTCATACTCTCAGCTCTGTTGTCATCTGAAGTTATGTACTAACCACATACTTTATGGCGTACTTTTTTTATCTGACAAACTCAAAATTTACCTACATTTGTTTTTAGCCAGTTGGTAATTTTAAAGCCTGCCAATGACCCATCAGAACACTGAAGTGTGTTATATAGGACTCCTTATTCAGACTATATTTGTGTTAAAACCACCACATAATAGCTAAACAGCTATGAGTGGTCAACAACAGGTAAACCCAGGCAGAATTTAGTAGAAAAAAACACAATCTAAACAATCTGAGCTCTCACAATTATTTAGCATCTCTGCTGATAAAACATAGTTGATAGTTATGTTTCCTTTAAAAGCGTACAAAGAAAAAGTCTATCAATGAGGAAAACACAGCTGAAAAGTAATAACTGATCCTTTTTGATTATATGGTTTTAATCACACCTGCCCATTAAATGTAAATATATTTTCCAAAACTTGGTCGAGGCATTCTGACGGCAAAAATATAGATTAAACTATAGTTAAAATGTAATTTGTATCGAGTCCAGCTAGACTTTAACTCTAAGTTGTTAAATAGGAATATTTTGAACAGAAATAAACTCCCATCACAACTTCAGTCTCAGCACAGAAGCTATTTTAGTGCACACATTGTTGTTGGTATGTTGTTTATTATTATCAGCATCAATACTATCACGACCATGAGCTTGTAAAATTACTGAGGTGAAAGAACCGAGAGTCATCGCATAAATAAAAAGCACAAAGTACATTAGCTTACTTTAAACCGTGATCATCGGGGTCAAACCCATGTTTTATGCAGACATCCTCCAGGACCTGAGTACGAGAAATAGTCACAAAAAAAGCATAGTCAAACATTACAAGTGGCACTAAAACAGAAAAATGACCCGTCACTGGCTAACATGAGTTAGCACAGGATGCTAACAGAAAAAAAGAGTTCGCTGGTGCGACTTGACAAAGAAACAGAAAAATTCACCCGTAAACACCAGAAACCATCGTGGGTTTCTTAAACACAACCAACCTGTAACAACGGCGTGTTTGGTGACACTTTAACTGCTTGTCTTCTCCCATTTGGAGTCAGAACTGTCACTGCTGAACTGCTGGCTGCCATTGTTTACAGTGACGTCACAGTGTTTGTTTGAATCAACTTTATTAACCAGCTGCGAGCCTGCAACAACACACACAGAGCCAAATTCAGCCAAAATATACGAAACTACAGTAAACTGGATTTATTTATTGCACTGAAAGGGTGTAGTTTCCTTAAATAGTTACTGAATGGCATCTGCACATGCTTTCAATTCAAACTGTGCATATTAATAAATGAAATACAAACACAACCAAGTTCAAGTCGTGTTTATTTGTCATATGCAAGGTTAACACGGGGTTAAAAGTACAATGAAATGCTAAGGATAAGAAGAATCAATTTGACTCGCTAAAAAGTCAAAGAACAAACCAACAAGAAAAATATAAAAAAGCATGCAATAAGAGTACACACGCACACACACACACAAAGTACCAAAAAGTGAAAAAGTAATTAAAATATTTACAGTGTCCTAAAGAGAGATATTGAACAACAACATGGTAGAATATAATGGTGCAGCAGGATGAATTTGAACGAATAAGTATTTTGAGGTAGTATATTTCGAGGTAGTAATATAAACTAAAATGCACATGATATACACACACACACATATATATACTGCACTCAACATATACCACACTGGTTGTGTGACAGGTTATTGCAGGTAGTGACATTGAGGTTGAATTATTAGTTAGTTGTTGCCAGTTGTTCAGTGTTATTTATTGAGATTTCAGTAATCTGACAGCTTGTGGGTAATATCTAAAAAAGTTAAATCTGGTCCTCTGGACATTCAAAAAAACCCAAAACAAAGCACAACAACAAAAAAATGTAGAAACGTTTCGTCTCTCATCCGAGAGACTTCCTCAGTCTGAGGTGCTGTATTGTGTCAAGCATTAGACTTAATGATATATTTATCAAAACTTGAATAATTATTATTGATATCAACTGAATTTTTTAGTAGGTAAAAACTAAAAGCTTCCAGATCATCATTTTCACATGGTACTCGGGTGATTAAAAAGGGCATATCAACTGTGTGATTTATATGTAATTAATGTGATTTGTTGTTACCACAACAAAGCAGGAAAAAATATAAAGATTTTCAAAGAAACAGAGATCTTTTAACATATTTCTCTTTGGACAGACAGTATAATCTGTGTCTCAAAACAAAAGGACTAACAAGTGTCTTCATGTTTTTTTCATTTAACATTAGTGTTAATATGCAAAAATACTTTTTAAGGGGATATTTTTATGTTTAGGTTACGAATACTGAGTCAATTCTTCTGCAAGAAATTAAATCCTCCCCATTAAGATTACAAACTATACGAAGATCTTCATTTTCTTCTGGGTTAGGGTTAGACTAGGATGTGTGACAAAAACAGAACACAAAGTGGCTTGAAATTATTTATGGTGGCCCTCTGAGGAGGAGATTGATCATGTCAGTAAAGTGACCACAACACAGCCAGCCTGGTTCCCATATGGCGACTTCATGTACCATGTGCAGTTTAACAGATGACCTGAACAGAGAAAGAAGAATGAAAGCTATTTTCTCCCAGCATGGATAAAACTGAATTAAAGCTGCCATCGGACCGGTCAGACAACCCAACACGTGGCACAAACAGGTGGAGAGGTGTGAGGCAGGGACTCCAAAGGCTGACTGACCAACAAACAGCAACATTCAAACAAAAATGTCAGCATGAAAGACAAATAACTGGCACCATCTGGAGAAACAAACCCATTTCCTTCCTCACTCATCAGGACAGAAGCTTAAAAATGTCACAAACTTACCAAAGCATCTGGCTTCACCGAAAAAAGAACAAAAATGTAATGGCAGAATACTACTAAATGTAAGAAATGATGGGTCTGTTCAATGGATTTGATTGATTGTAGGAGAAAAGCTGTGGTCGCACCTAGTTTTCTATATTTCATTGTCTACTTGACATTTCAACTCCACTTAGACTCACCCATTTTCTAATACGCCTTGTTCCATTCAGGGTCACGGGATAGCTGACGCCTATCTCCAGCTGTCTCTGTAGGAGAGGTGGAGGACACTCTAAACAGGTCACATGTCCATCACAGGGACACATAGAGACAAACAACCATTCACACCTAATGACAGTTTAGACCTGTGAAGCTAGCATGCATGTTTTGGTTTGTGGGAGGAAACTAGTGTTTCCAGAGAAAACCCACAGATGCATGGGGAGAACATACAGTACAAACGCCACACAAAAAGACTGGAGTTAGTGAAATACAAAGTTATGATCATGTTCAAAAGATCTGCTGACACCAGTAATCACCAAAAAAGTCATAATTGCCAACACATACTCCATAACATTCAAGCATGATATTGTATGCGTGTGGAAAAAATCTATTGTAATTTTAGTAAAGTTATTAGAATGTTGCAAGAACTATTGATATGTGCACTTTCTCATAGATCTGTTCACGACAGGGAGGACATTTTTTAGTAATGTTAGCATTAATGAGCACATATTTTCCTCTTGCAAAGAGAATCAGTGTTGATGATGACTGCATACCATTTATCAAATATATTTAAAATTTCTGAAAAGTTTTTATATTAATTGGTATCACAATCACAGTGTGGACATGCTAAGCTTGACAACACCTAACAACAAACATGAAAATGAGGAAACATGAGCGCAGGAGTTTGCTCTTTCTTGTTGGGACAGTTATCTGGTAATGGAGGAGTGGACAACAATTTGACACAAGCATATTTCACAGAGTAGAAATCAGGCAACACACAAAGCAATGTACAAAATGAGGTAAATCAAAGTAAAGACATAAAAACGATGCAGAGAATGACGACAAACCAGTGTGGAGCATACAGGTTCAAAACACAGATCATCTGGTGTTGAAAGCTACTGAATAGTGGGTTTTTAAATGGGACTTGAAAACCGAGAGGGAGGGGGCCTGTCTGACAAGCAGAGGTAACTCGTTCCAAAGTCTTGGTCCTGCTACAGAGAAGGCCCTGTCACCTCTGCGCTTAAGACAGGTTCCTGGAACTGTGAGGAACAACTGGTCCGCTGACCTCAGGGAACGTGGTGGGACATACGGCTGTAGAAGATCAGAGAGATGGGGGGGCGAAACTGTTCAGTGATTTGTAGGCATACAGGAGTATTTTGAACTGGATTCGAAGGTGAACCGGTAACCAGTGCAGTGAGGCCAAAACTGGTGTAATGTGCTCTCTTTTGCCTGTACTGGTTAAAAATCGGGCTGCTGCATTCTGGACCAGTTGTAGTTGTGCAATGGAGGTCTGACTGATACCAAACAGGAGCGAATTGCAGTAATCAAGCCTAGATGTAATGAATGCATGTATTACTGTCTCCAGGTTATTTTTGGACAATATGGGCTTCAGTTTAGACAGCCGCCTCAGTTGGAAGAAACATGATTTAACAATCATGTTTACGTGATTGCTAAGTTTCAGGGAAGGGTCCATTATCACGCCCAGATTATTAACTCTTTGTTTTTATGACAGGGTTAGAGCGGAAAGGTCGATGCAGTGGTTTGTGATCGTGTCATTGGGAGGGAACAGCATGACTTGAGACTTCTTTTCATTGCAACTTAAGAAATGTAAAGCCATCCAGTCCCTGATGTCAGCCAGGCAGTCGAGCAGAGGTTGAATAGAGCATGTGCCATTGTGTCTTAGGGGGAAGTAAATTTGACAGTCATTGGCGTAGAAGTGAAAGGGTATGTTGTGTTTCGGTAAAATAACACCAAGTGGCAGCAGGTATAAAGAGAATAGGAGGGCACCCAGGATGGACCCCTGCGGAGCCCCCCATTTAAGCTCTGTTGCTGTAGAGCTAAAATCCTTGATGGAGACACAAAAGGATCTGTCAGCGAGGTAAAATCTGAATGACATGAGGGCTGACCCTGTGATGCCCACCCACTGCTCCAACCTAGCAGAACGTTAACGTTTCTACCTCATGTACTACACATGTACTAAAAAGCATGGGTCTCTATCTTAATTACTTGTTTAGATTAGAATGTTTAGTTTAGCTTAGACGTCTTTTTGCATTTATTATAGGTCTTTTTGTATTTATTGCACTGTTGTTTTGTTTTGCACATTATGTTCTATGTTGCACCGTGATCCTGTTTCATTTCAAAATGAAACGTAGTTGAAATTACAATAAAACCTCTCTGACTCTGAAATTGATGTTTTTCCATTTTTTTCAAGTTCAGTTTAAGTACAAAAAACATTGTTTCATATCACAAAGATACAACTGCTGCTTTGTATGAACAGTAGGTCTTTTAGACTTTGTCCTCGTAAGATAAAAAAAAAGAATAACTTGGAAAAAGAAACACACTTAAAGCAGATCCATTCTTCAGAATGCAGTTTATTTTTCCAGGAGTGAGGGCGTTTTCATCATGAGCTCAAAGATATACAGCCAGAGGAATTCATCTAAACATCTGATTCCTTTGGTGGAGTCAACTGAAAGGATGGAGACAGAGACAGAGTTTGATGCCTTGAAATCCGATTGCTGCGATAACTCAACCAACATGATTTAGAAATTTTACAAATCTAATTGAATATATCTTCAGCTTTCAAGGTCAAGCTGCAGATTGATCATGTCTTCCTGCAATATAAACAAAAACAAACAGGGCAGAATTATTGAAAACCATGAACACATCATATTTAAAGTTTAAGCAATTTATTGCTGATTAAAAGAACAATAAGGACAACTCAGAGATTTGAGTTTCATACTGTATGGGTCCACTGATTTAAAATCTTCCAGTGACATCATTACCTGCGACAAAAAAACAGGAGAAATGAAGGTTTTCCATTTTTAGATCATAAAAACGTGTTGTGACACACACACACACACACACACACACACACACACACACACACACACACACACACACACACACACACACACACACACACACACACACACACACACACACACACACACACACACAGGTTTGTTTTGCTATCTTTGTGGGGCCTTTGCATTGACTTCCATTCATTTTTCATTCATTTCTATAGCCTAACCATGACCTTTATCCATAACCTAACCATTACCAGTACATACCTAACCCTAAACCTAACACATCCTCAATTCACACCTTAGTCCTAAACCTAGCCCGTAACCCACCAACGGGACTTCTTCTTATGGGGCCCGGGCTTTGGGCCCCATAAGGAGCAGTTGGTCCTCACAATGTAGTATAAGTTGGAAAAATGGGCCTCACAAAGTAGCATAAACAAGGACACACACACACACACACACACACACACGCACGCACGCACACACACGCACACACACACACACAACACTTCAACTTCAAAGGCTGTGTGGTCAGATGATGAGACAACATCAAAGGTACTGAGTGTGGGCGTGCCAGGCGTACGCGCGCTCCGGGTGTGAGACCGACGCCCCGCGAGGCGCATCAGCCAACAATAACAGTGATTGGCTCGCGGGAGTGAGAGGCACAGAGGGGGAATAAGGGGGGACTTCAAATAAATCCTCACTTCACCCCCAAAGATCATGAGAACTTGAAACCAGAAGAATCGCTGCGCAGGTTTTTGCGTAAAGACGCGCGTGATGGATTAACTGGTTTAAAACTGGCACAATTTGAAACCACTTGTCCATCTCTCATGGCACCATGAGGATCCATAATCTCCGCTCATTCAGTCCACCGTGAGAGAGCGGTCGCTTCCAGGTCCCTCCGTCTTCTTTTTGGACATGCTGAGTTTCATTCAGACTCGTTGCACGCGCGTTTCCCAGTGACTGTCAGAGATGCAGAGAGTGGTGAGAAGCTCGGCCGGACTGTGCGCGCTGCGCTCCTGTCTGCTGCTGCTCTTCATCCAGCTGAGCGCACCGGTGGAAGCCAGGAGAGCGCGCGGCGGCCGGGCGCAGCCGCGGCGGCCTCAGCAGCAGGCTGCAGGGCCGCGGGAGCGCGTGGAAGGACCAGAGAGCTTCCCCTTAGACTTTACAGCCGTGGAGAGCAACATGGACAACTTCATGGTGCAGGTCAAGAATTTGGCGCAGTCTCTGTATCCGTGCTCTGCGCAAAAGCTGGAACAAGACATGAAGCTGCACCTATTGAAGAACGTGTCAGTGACCTGCAACGACGGGTCCCCAGCAGGGTAAGTGCGCGCTCTTGGAGCCTCTTACGCATGGAGCTGTGAGAATCTGAGCTGTGAGGGAACAAAGAGACAGCTGCGTTCTGTCGCTCCAAACATTTAATCTGGTGGCGCTTCGAGTTTCCCTGACCCTCATTCCCCCTGTCACTCCGGATGTAACCAAAATGGATCAAAGCAGCAGATCAGAGGAGGCACCCTTATGAGGAGAGACTTTTGTGGGTGCAGGGATGAAGCTTTAAACCCTTTTAACAGCAGTAGAACAAGATTAAAGGGGAAGCACTGATCCTGTGTTTGAGCAGATTCAAGGAGGGACAAATGAAAAACACAAAGCAGCATTTCATGGAATAAAGTAAAATAAAACAAAAATGTAAAAAGGAGCAAAGATAACTAAATTCTGATCAAGTGACTTTAAAAGAGGGGACAATTTGTAGGTGCAATTAGTAAATTAAACATTCATACAACCTTTTCACTTGTCAACAAAGTCTATGAATTCTGTTTTCAGTTGAATTTATGTTGAAATGTGTTAAATATTTATTGACAAGATAAATAACAAGTTAAACATCCAAGCTGAGTGTTGGTTCCTCATCATATTTGGGTAAAACAGAAACACAAAAAGTGATTAAAGCCCTTAAACACATCTAAAAATGTTCCTGTAAATGAGTAGATGAGTTAAAGACAAATCTCAAATGTCAGGATCAGAGCTTGTTCTCTTGTAGCCATCATCCACACTGTGGTTTATGTTGGTGCTTTATTGCAGGTATTACATGAAAGAGTCTAAAGGCAGCAGGAGGTGGCTGCTCTTCCTGGAAGGTGACAATGAAGCCACACACAGCTCCCTGCAGCTCTGTGAGGACTGCTAACTTTCTTGTGTGAATATGTGCAGGTGGATGGTACTGTTTCAACAAGCAGACCTGCGACAGCAGATATGAGACGATGAGGAATCTGATGAGCTCCACCATGTGGCCACAAACCAGAAGAGGTAGAAAAACTGTCCAGTTCAGCTTTATTTGACCTTCTAAGGGCAAATTTAGTTTTACAGATCTAGAAAAAGCACAAGTGAGACGATGAAACAACGTGAAAAAGTAGAACAGTCCATTGAAGAAGACATTAAAGCAACAAAACTAAAGTTAAAACTGTCAATGAAGTGTTAATAAATTATAAACATAACAATTTAGGAATTTTATTGCTCAAATTGCACATGGAAAAATAATTGATGTCTCTGACTCTATAGGACATAGTTTAAAAATGAATTCCTTGAAAAAAGGACTGGACTCAAATTGGGCTTTCTGCAGAACTTGCCTGTTATTTGTGCCAGGAAAGTGCATGTAACTCTTTTACTGTCAACACTGACAATATTAGATGGTTTTTTTTTTACTTTGCAAATATTAGAGTAAAATAAAATAAATATATTCATTGCAAACCATGGAGTCAAATGTAAAAACGGTCAGTACTAAATTTATTTGTGCAGCTTGAAAAAGTTTACTCCAATTGTTTTTTAATATTTACTGAGTACTGAACGACTCGTCCCCAGTTCTGTTGAGCGCTGTGCTGAACAAGGTTTCTCAATGCAGCCGTGAGCTATAGGCTGGCTGTAGTGTGGGTGGATAAACAAATATAGCCGTAAGTTTAACGTTTGACTTATTGTCAGTCACTTCGGTTGTTTTTGAAGGTAAACAAACCCTTAATATTGGGAGCAATTCATGAATTTTGCTAACAAATTTGCATGAGTATAGTGTGGATTTTTTTTAAATCCAGTTCTTCATGACTTTGCAATGTGTCTTTAAAAAGCAAAAAATGAAACTAACACAATAAAAGATCTGTAAACTGATAGTTTTTATAACATTATCAGATTATCTGAGCAAAATAATTATATATTTATATATTTTTTAAATTTTAAGCATCATTATGATCTTGGGTCAGTTTCTTTGGCAACGATGGCTCAGAGGCTCTTGTAAGACTCAACCATCTCCACAGGTGATTCTTTAAATTTTGTAGGAGGAGGAGGTTGAGGATTTTCTCTAAAATGATTGTCTTTAGCTTTCTGGACAGTTAGCTGGAGGCCGCACCGCCTCACAATCTGCATTATCGATCCTCCATGGCCGTCTTCTATATCCTTCAGCAGACTGATGGAACAGGAGCATCAGTTTTCTTTACTCATGTGGTCTCGTCACAAGGAAAGAAAAACTCCAGAATGAAGGAGACTCCGCATGTTTGAGTTTCCTCTTCAGCTCAGTTTGCGTTCATCTTCAAAAGTTGAAATCTAAAGATTCCCTGTTTGTTTAAGACCCTCTCTGCACAACTGTTACCTTTTACCTCTGATGGCCTTTAACTCTGTGTGTTTGGTCTTTTTTTGGCACAGCATCATTGACATTTATGACTCATAATAAACAATTCTGAGTGACTTTTGACTCACTAATGTGGACTTTCCAGTAGAACATGATTAACATATGAGGTCCCTGCTCTGTTTTTATCCCTGTTTTTACAGGAACAGGGATTTTGTCTCCACAGCCAGAGGAAAACCCTCACTGGTGGAACGCCAACATGGTGTAAGGACTTATTTTCCTCCTCGTTTACTAGTTTTCTCAAATGAAATATTTTTCATTTACATAAAGTGAATGATTATACACAGAATGTGTGAGGATTTGAATCAAGTTTTAACCCTTGTGTTTATCCATCCATCCATCCATCCATCCATCCATTATCTTTACCCGCTTCTTCCTTTTTGGGTCGCGGAGGCCACTGGTGCCCATGTCCAGCTATCACTGTGCAAGGACAGGCCTCCAGTCCATCACAGGGACACATAGAGACAAACAAGATAAACACCCATTCAGTCTCTCACTCACACCTAGGGACAATTTAGCGTTACCAATCAGCCTAACATGCATGTTTTTTGTCTGTGGGAAGAAACCGGAGTACCAGGAGAAAACCCACACATGCACGGACAGAACATGCAAACTCCACCCAGAAAGACCCCCATACCGGGATTTGAACCGGGGCAATCTGCTCGCTGAGAGGCAGCAGCTCTACCAACTGAGCCACTGTGCTGCCTTCCATTGTGTTTATTTCAAATGAAAAAAAGAGATTAATGTATAGTTCAGTTATTTTTTTGTGCTTGAATTATTTCAATGTGTTATGTGGCATATTTTTTACACTAAGGTGCATTTTATGTGGACTTTCATGTCAGACTAACTCCAAAATGTTTACATCATATGACCCATTGTTACAGTTTTATACAAAGACCAACAAAATGTTAAACTTAAAAAAAACTCCCCTTGTTTATTTCAGACAGTGTGTCTCTAGTTCTATATCGAAATAAGTTTCTGCAAGACTCATTAAAGTGGTTCTTCTCTTCAGATGTTCTGCTAACAGACACACAAACGCACACAGACACTAGCTAAAATATTATCACCCACTTTTCATCTTTCGGTGGCGTGTAACAAGGAGCAAAAACCAGCTTCCTGCTGCTGATCAGCAGTTCTGTTAGAAACAACCAGCTCATTTTTCATCCGTACATCTGTAAACATGGACTAAATGACCCAGACTCAGTTATTTCTCCTCCTAACTGTGTTGTGTTTGTGTTTCCTGCAGGTTCATCCCTTACTGCTCGAGCGACGTGTGGAGTGGAGCCTCCCTGAAAACCAATCAGAGTAAGATATTTGTGTGTGTGTGTTAGTATGCACAGAAAATGTCCACCAAGTAAAAACAAAAATACAGGAGTGGTGGATGATGAGTAGAGAAGACATTCCAGAATGGAAAGTTTAAGAAAACACTTTAAAACTTTGCCTAAAACCACCCAAATGACTCACAGGCCATAAGATGCAACATTATCTCATCTTTTCATGGCAACAACTGAAAGCCTATGGCCAAGAAGAAAAAAAAAGAAAATTTAAAAAGTGGTCATAGAAACATCTGTAATTCACCTCTGGAGTGCCTGAAAGTGGCCGAGCACTGAACTTCCACGTCCACCCTGGGTGAATATAAATATTTGTGATGTGAAACATGGAGCAGGTCTGAAAACATTTGACTCTATATTTAGTTTATTTCAGATAAAACAGAAGTGGAGCCACCTTTGGTTTGATTTACAGCTAATGATTCCTTTAAAACCACTCAGTGTATCTTTTAACCTGAAACCACTTTAATTGTTAAATTATGTCTCAGTTTTTAGAAACGTTCTGGTCCAAATAAGTTCTGTAATGAAAAGTAGCTTCTTTTATCTGAGGAATCCTGCAGTGGTTAAACGCTCGATATAGTTGTTTGTGCTCATTTTATATAGTTTTCATTATTTTCTGAAAGTTTTGTACTCAAACTTGTATGTTTTTTTTCTCCTTTGTATTTTATTGAAGTGTACTTTGGGACAGCGAGGTGTTTGGAAATGCGCTAAATAAGTCAAATTTGTCCTTGACCCAAATATTCCTATATGTTAATAGATTTTACTGTATCTGGTACTGACAGGAGAGCTAAATGCATAAATGAGTCATTTGACCAAATTTCAGAAGAAAAAGCTGATTGCAGTTCAGATTGAACTTGCTTTACAAAGAGCACAAAATATTACACAAAAGTACTTTAACGTACGTTAAAAGCCCTTTTTAATGGTGGAAGTGCATGACATGAACGCAAAGAAAATCGTACTTTGTTTCTGATACGTTAGCCACTGAATAACAGGAAAATCTCACATTTTAATATTTTGGAGAACTATTTAAGTCTTGTTTTATGATTTTATTGATAAGACTATATTAACAGCCTTTGCTCATATATCATACGATGAGGCATCTTGTGATTCCCACCTCTAATTTCTGTTAAACAATAATGTGTTTTGTCTTAAGTCCTAATATTTGTATTTTCAGGTGAATATGCGTTTATGGGCTCTCTGATCATTAAGGAGGTGGTGAATGAGCTGCTGACTAAAGGTCTGCAGAACGCCAAGGTTCTGCTTCTGGCAGGCAGCAGGTCGGTTCAGCGCAAGTGGGTTTTACTCATTTCAGTGGTCCAGTTTCTTTATCCGAACCCATCCTTCTCATTACAAGTGCGGGGGGTACAGGAGTCCTGCTGAACGTGGACCACGTGGCAAAGCAGCTGGAGTCCGAGGGCCACAGCGGGGTCCAGGTGAGGGGTCTGGTCGACTCAGGATGGTTCCTGGACAACAAGCAGTACAAACTCACAGACTGCCTGGACACCATCAGCTGCGCCCCCACTGAGGCCATAAAGAGAGGAATCAGGTCCGACACATGTGGCGTTACTGGAGAAATGGACTTTAGAAGGGTTTAGGGGGAGGTTAGTAATAATTGGGAAACGTTGTGTTTGTCCAGGTACTGGGGGGCGCTGGTGCCAGAGAGCTGCAGGCAGACTCACGTTGGAGAGGAGTGGAGCTGTTTCTTTGGATATAAAATCTACACAACATTAAAACGTGAGACACCACCAAACCAGAGCTTCTCTATTTACTCGGCTACAACCAGGGGCACCACCAAGAGGACACCCAAAAAAAAATTGGTGCCCCTACCCCGCTTTGGTCAGACAATATTTTCCTCCTAAATTTTTGCTTTTTGTGCTGTCAAATTTTCCCCAGCGTTTTAGGATTAGTAGAACCTCGTGAACATAAAAACATTGTTTTTGAGCAGATTATTAAAAAAATACAAAAACATTTGATTTAAAATTAAAGTTTAAATCTAGTCCTCCTCAATAAGGAAAAACAATGTCCCAACAGTAAAAATTCCTTTATGGTTTTTAGTTTTGGTGTGCCACCCCAGGATGATCAGTGGCCTCCACAGACATTTATTTTGGAGGTTCCACTGACTACAACTTGAAGTTGGGTTCTCCACCCTGCAGGCCCAGTGTTTGTGGTGCAGTGGCTGTTTGACGAGGCCCAACTGACTGTTAACAACATCCACCCGACTGGACACCTTGTCGACGAGGGCCAGTGGAGGTACATCCAGAACCTGGGGCAGGAGCTGAGGAACACGCTCGGAGGTGTAAAGTAAGACTGATGCGTATGCACGCACGCACGCACGCACGCACGCACGCACGCACGCACGCACACACACACACACACACACACACACACACACACGACTCAAATGAAATGAGTGTTTCATAAAGTTCTGCTTCTTCTGTTCGGCAGAGCGATGTTTGCCCCGGCTTGTTTGTCCCATGAGCTCATAACCAGAATGTAAGTAAATATTTAAATGCAGCCACCTTTAATCTTTTATTTAACTAGATGAATTTCTCAATTATAGAAAAGAACAGCGCATAATTAAAGACAGATTTAATGCCATATGTTTAAACTTTAACCTGAACTTTTTGTTCATTTAACCTGAACATTAAACTGGTTGATGTTCCGATCTTCTTTTCTCTGACACACTTGGGTGAACATGTTTCTTCATGCATTTTCCTGCTGTTACTGTAAATAAACTCTCTGGTACCAAATGTGTTAATCCGCTGCTGAAAATAGACCCTAATGGGAAAATTTGTTGCAGCTTGAGCTTGAATGTGGCCCACCTGTGAATTAGATTAACAAACCCCTACTGTGAGGTGTGATAGGTCAGTCTGCATATGTATGCATGTATCTTACCTCAGTTTTATAACTCAAACCCCACACTCCCTGTTCTTTGAATTTAGAAAGCTTCTCGGATGAAAAGCGAAACGTCTTCCGTTACAAATAAAGTCCAGTTGTTTTTGTCTTGAACTTTTTTGAATTTACCATGTCCTGGATGACTGAGAATCTTCACCAGCTTGAGCAGCTTTTGCAGGAAAAACATATTTTGCTTTGAAACAATTTTAAAAAGAAACCACATTTGTTTCTTTAAAAAATAAATAAAAAGCAGTACATTTGGAGTTATACACATCACCCGCTGCCTTTCAAGCCAGAGTTTTAGGTTTAGATCTACAAAGTATTTGGCTGAAAAATGCAGTCGTTTTGGTCAAACCATGTATAACATGTTTAAATGTCTTCATGTTGTTTTATTGTTGAAATTTGACTTGTTTTCTAATCTGTTTGTATTTATATGTTTATATACTTTATACTCAGTGCAATAAAAAAAAAAATATATATATATATAGATTTCTGAAGATGATGATTGGAGTGGGTTCAAGAAAGGTTTTTCTTCCATCCTGCTGCAGAAACTGGATGGATGTTCAGGTGAAAGGCACCTCCCTGCCCAGAGCGCTCCACTGCTGGGACCGCAGCCTCCAAAACAAGCTCCACCTCAACAGCAGCCACAGCCACCAAAAACACAAGACCCCCCCGGTGAGAGGATGCCCCCTGCATTTGATTGACAGCTGCTCGTGGCCGCACTGCAACCCGTCCTGCCCAACCATCAGAGACCAGCTGACGGGCAGATGAGTGTGATGCCGTTTCTGAAGCACATGAGCTTCTATGCGAAGAAGAAGTCTCAGCAGCAGGGTACCAGGAAGCTACTGGGCATGCTCAGTAATGGAAGCTGAGCAACATTTTAAGACAAATACAAACACAAGTGCCGTTTATGTTCTTGGAAGCTGGTTTGTATGAGAAACTGGACTTCAGAGGAAGACAGGAGGGTAAAGTCTTCTTACATAAAGAAACTCTCCGTGACAAACTGAATAATTCAAACAAAAGTGTCTCATGAAGTTTTGAGTCAAACACAACCAATCCAGAATGTGTGAGCTGTTTAAATCTGATCAGTAGAAGATAAACAGATGTGGTTTTACTCTGTGAGGTTCAGTCAGTCCAAATGAACCTTCACGACTGTCTTCAGCAGCTGACAGATGTTTGACGGGTGAACACTGGAGTGAAAACACCTCCAGTGATTGGATGTGTGGGAATTTGGTGCTCTAAAGAACAAAAATCATTTTACAGATCAATCTATGGTGCTGCTGAAACCATTCACCAAATATGCTGCTTTAAAATAGTTAATGAGTTTCATTGGCAAATCAAACTTAATACTATTTGTTCTTCAGTGCTTGAAGTGCTTTATTTATTTTCCTGTCAACACATTGTATATTTAACCATCATTCAATCCAGTTTAACACTTTAAAAACTGTAAATCATAATTGTTTTTATTTGCATGTTTGTAAAAAGTTTCTTTATACCCTGCTTTAAAAAGTTTTGAAATAAAGTTTGAACATGTATTTTCATATACAACAGTCTCCATACCTCGCACAATAAATACAAACACACATTAATGTACTAAACATAATTTACTTACAAAAGTACAATGGTAGTAATAAAAAAAACTAAACGCAAGTATTTACAATAACATAAATCCACACCCAGAAATCCCAGCTTACCTACAAAACATGTAATAATAAAGTATTTGGATTATTTCTGAAACAGAAAAACTGTTCACAGTTGATATGAAAGTGCTTCTTCAGTGGAAGGGCAAAAAATCCAAAGATTTATTTTCTAAAATGCTCTTTTTATTACATACAGATCTGCCTGGACTGATGCTAAATTTCTTATAACTACAAAACAGAGAGAAAACAGACGTTTAGATTTCCTATGTGCTTCTGATCTTCTTAAATGCATTTATCAACAAATAATGTCCAGACTTATTTTGAGCACCTGTCACAGCTTATTTGATTTGTTCTGTTTCCAGTTATTTATCAGTTTCATTTACTGCTTGAAGGACCTCAGTGCTTGGAAAACTGAGGTTTGTCTTTTTGAAGCTCAGCTGAGACCTACAGGAGGTAAGAGTGGAAATGAGTAAAAACAACATACAGTATGTGCAAACAAAGGGCTTCATGTAAAGGTACTAATTGGTCTTTGACAACTAAACACATATAAATACATGTTTAAAAACAAACGAGTGAAAAAAATTTCAAGAAGGCACTGGATTCTCAGAGCAAGAAATTTAGCATACACAAAGACAAAAAAACAACTTCTAGTTTACTACTCTACATGAATTAGTGTGTACAACGTGTATTTTTGGGTTCTGTGTCGTTAAACAGATCTGTGGGTTTCAAACATGAGCAAAGACTGACCTGACGGGCGGATCTTTTAGCCGACGCTCGTTTCTGCTCGTGAATAGACTGAAGTCGAGTAATTAAGAATTTCTTATCATCTCCCTCCTGTGCAGAGAAACAACCAAAAAATAATCAACCACGTTCATCAAAACGCAAGCAACATCAAGAGCAGTGATTCATCTAATTTAAAAACCTTTAATAATAAGCTGTATTTTTAAACAGAGCTGTGTACGGAGATGAAAGATGTCCTACATTTTCTATATGTTCCTGCAGTAAAGTGATGATCTTCCTCTGACCATCGACCACCTGACTGTGGAAGTAGATGACAATCCTGAGAAGGAAAACACAGAATGATAAAACATTCAGAGTGAAATTAAACGTCTTTCACAAAAATACTGCAGTGTTAAAATGATATCTCACTGGGCTGCGACTGTTGGAGACTGGCTGGTGAAAATTGTAGCATATTTTTGTGTGCACGGCTTGCAATGTTGATTCTTTGAATCACAATTTTGTTGTATTTTAACCATCTCATCTTGCTCTGTAGGTTTGAACTAATTTGTCTATTAATAAAAGTAAAATGTATATAAATGCCACAAAATGTATTTTATCCTGGATCTCTGTCTGTAAAAAAACTAAATAAAATTCTAACGAGTGTAAACTTAAAAATACGTCATAAAGCGCAAAAAAGCTCACCATATCAACAGTTTATGTTTTTTTACATACTGTATATTAAAAGTCAGTGTTCTTGAGTCTGACAGCTGTAGAAGCGCCCACATTTATGATTTAATCTACTGGATTACACTTCTGAAAAGAAAAACAGATTTGGACGAATTTTAAAATAATTGCAACATATTGGTGTTATAAGATCTGGAGTTTGAGACTGCAGACTCGAACATTTCGAGACATTCTGGAGACTCGCTCGTGAATGCTGCTGCCAGCAGGCGCAGCCCAATGATATCCTATCTTCAATGTACTGCAGTGACAGATAAGCCACATATTTTTTCTCTGAAATGCCTCAATTCTGTATCACCGAGCTACAGTTTATTACTGTGTGTGCATGTGTGTGTGTGTGTGTGTGTGTGTGTGTGTGTGTGTGTGTGTGTGTGTGTG